ACATAGCTGCAAAGGACTGAATTTGTTCTGCTCAAGACCGCATAGTATCCCACTGTGTGTGTCCACCACATGGTCTCGGTCCACTCCAGAACAGGTGGCTTGGTGGGTCCACAGCTTGGCCATTATGAGTGGTGCTGAAATAAGCATGGGAATGCATATACTGATTCCATTTCCTTTTGACAAATATGCAGTAGTGAGGTTGCAAAGAAATATATACTCTCAACTTTACGAAAAATTTTCATTCTGTTTTCAGGAATGGCTTTACTAACCTACATTCCTACAGGACAAAAGAATCCCCCTTTTGCCTATTTTTTTTTTGGCCAGAATTTGTCATTTTTGGTATTTTTTGCTATGGGAATTCTGAGTTGGGATGATACCTCATTGCGATGTTAGTTTGTGTTTACAGCTTTTCAACATACTACCGAGATATAGTAACAAAAGCAGCATGGTGGTGGCATAAAGAATAAACACAAAACTCATGTATGTACTGTTACATGTTTCTGAGGCATTTTTAAAGCATATACATGATCAGATCATGCTTTTCAATAAGTGGTCATAGGTTACTGGATAGTAAAATGATGGCAATGGATTAGATTTTCACACTTTACACAATAATCAGTGATTAAAGCCATTAAAGACTTAATTGTAAAAGAAGAAACAGTAAAAATAGTAGAAAAAATTTAGGGGAACACTTTATGATATTGGTCTGGGCACATATATTTTGAAATGGAAAGCAAATACGTAGGCAACAAAATAGATAAGAAATAGAAAAAATAAAAAATAAAAAATAGATCAGTGTGTTTACACCAAACAAATATCTCTGGACAGCAAGGGAACAGTAACAGAGGGAAGACAGCCTACAAAATGAGAGAAAATGTTAGTGCACTATTTATCTGACTAGGGTGTCCCTACCTAGAATACAGGAGGGACTCAGAATATGAATAGAAATGATAAGTAATATTTAAAGATAAAGTAATTTTATTATAGATGGGTAAGTGGTATGAACAGGCATTTTTCAAAATAAACAATAGGCCAACACGGACATGAAAAAATATTCAACATCATTTTTTACTTTTCAAGTGCTCTCAAGGGTTTCAGAGGTGAAATTTAAAAATACTGTAGTACATATTTAAGTACACAGTGATATGTTTTCACACATCCATGTAGTTTGAGGCAATTGTTTCATTAAGTTATTAAGAGGTCATCTCACAGTTTTATAGTGAAAACACTGACCATCTTCCTGCTTACCAAATTTCAGGCATATAATAAGGAATATTATTTGCAGTGATTTCAGTGTACATTAGATATCCAGAGGTTATTTTTATGCATAACTAAAACTTTCCGGTCTTTGATTAACCTCTCCCCATCGTTGACATTCACTTTCTACAGCAATGACTATTCTGCTCTGTGTTTCTATGATCTGGCTTTTTTAGAATCTAAATAGATGAGATAATGCATTTTTAATCTTTTTGTATGTTATTTATCTATCATAATGTCTCCAGGTTCACCCAAGTTGTCACAAAATATATCATTTTCCTTATTTTTAAGGGTTAGTCATGTCTCCTGATTTATGTCTTTGTAGAACATTTCTCTATTCACTGCTCCACCTCTGCACATTTCAGTTGCTTCTGTATCTTAGGTATTGCAAGGATAAGGGAGCAAAGGTTTTTCCTCAGTATCCTGAATTGATTCTTTTCATGCAGTTGCAGAAGTGTTACGACTATGACTTAGCACATTTCTATGTTTAAGCTTGTGTTACATCTGTGCTATGTTTGTGCAGGGGCTGCACTACTGCTGCCATTCCCACCCGAAGGGTGAGGGGTTCTCTCTTCCCTCCCTGCCCAATCCTAGCTACCATTTGTCTTCAGTAGTTGCCATTTCAATAAGTGTGATGTGCTATGATGTGATTGCTTTGGTTTGTTTTCCCTTAATGATCAGTGAAGTTCAGCACATTTTGCAAAGCTATTGACCACTTGAATGTCCACTTTTGCGAAGTATCCAGGATGCTTTATGCATTTTGGGTGTTAACCTGCTATCCGACATAGAGTGTGCACGGTTTTCTCCTTATGTACTGTGTGTGAGAAAGTCTTAATTGCCAATGCAACTGCATTAACAAACTCATGGGGAGGTGAGTGCATCCCTGGGCTGCTCAACTCTTCACTTAACCCATTGGCATACACAGCTGAATGTGTCGCTAGGAGGTGGGATCAGTGGGAGGAGAAGGGACACTAGAATTGTGTCTTTGGAAGGTGAATCCCTTCCTGGTGCTTTACCCTGTGCTCTTCCTCTCCACTATGAGGTATGTGCTCTGCTATACCCTTTTGCCATGACGTTTGAGTTTGGAAGCCAATCAACCATGAAGTGAAACTACTGAAAATGTGCTCAAATAAACTTCTCTTCCATTAAATTGAGTGAATCAGGTATTTGGTCTTAGAAAAGGAAAAGCTGAACAATACAGAAATTAACAGCAGAGAAGTCAGGTCATTGCTGTGACTATTCCTAGTCATGTGGTTCATAAACCTTGTGCCTGATTGTGGGAGGAGGAGACTGGAAAACTTCAGAGATGACACAAGTGGATCTTGAATGTTGTAGGCACAGCCTGACAATAAATACTATTTCCCCTGTTACTGAGGATTGAAGTCAGGTCCTTAATATTGAGTTGCATGCCAAGTTCTTTTTAAATTTACTTTTAGGAGACAGGATCTTATGCTCAGTTGCTGAATTTCCCAGGCTGGGCTTGCCTTTGTAATCCTTGTGTCTTGTACTGCCAGAATCCTAATATTAGAACCATGCTAACATACCCAGTATGACAGGCAATTCTGGTCAACACCCAGAAGACTAGGATACAAAAAGGAATGAGGACAGCAAAGGCCAGGTTCATGAAGTTTTAGATGGGCATGAAGGCTTATTTTAGAATTTGATGGGAGGCCATTCATGTTACATTCTAACAAAACATTTGTTGACATAATTGTTGTTCTCCCATAGCTTTGTGAGGAGGCTTTTTTACCTTTAAGGTGGTAAAATAATTGATGGTAGAATAAGTTACAAGGCAACCCAACATTCAGGCTATGATATATATACTGTTGACTGTTGTATTCAGAGATTCAGGCATTAAACAAAAGAGAAATATTTGAAAAGGTTAAAAATTTCTCCCTCCCCAATCACCTAGGAGCAAAAGTGGTGTGGCTGTTGGAGAGATCAGCTCTATTAAAAAGAGGTCAAAAATTTTGAATGGGACCAGAAGGAAGATCCCTTCAGGGCATCTCAAGAATGAGAACTGTCCCATCTGTCACAGCTTAAAGGGTGCAAAACTGTAACATTGCACTGGAGTAAAGAGCCCCTGGCTCCGGTTCCAAAAGGCCTCAGGAATTTGTTCCTTGGATGCATTACACTAGGCTCATAGCCTATCAATCTGAAACCACTGTAGCCATGTTCCCAGGGGCCCTGGCTACTGCTGTTGTTAGATCTTGACATTTTTTCAGACATCCAGAAAGTAAGAGTTGTGGGATCATGGACTCTTCCTCTGAGATTTCAAAGGGAGATGTTGGGGGGCAAAGTGCCTTTTAGAGAGCAGCATGTAAAGCTGAGGAAATGAAGCTGCATGTACATGGGTACCCTGGGAAGTTGGAAATGTCAGGAAGATGGACTTTTCAGTGAGGAAAGCTGCAAACAGCAGCAGAGCCAGGCTGAATGGAAGAACATGTGGGCTACAAGACAGAGGGCCATTGTATGGGCCACATGAGCTCTCTGAGACCCACACTTCATCACCAGGTACCTTGGTTGCCACACACGGAGCCTTACAACTTAGAATTTGTTCTACTGGGGTCTAGTGCAAACCTCTTTTTATTCACTTGTCCATGCCTGTTAGAATGGAAATGGTGACCCTGTGCCAATGTATCTTGAGATTCTGCAGCTTCCTCTTCACAGTCTTGAAATATTACTAAAAATCATTGCTGTGTGGTCAAAAATCTCCAAAGGACATGATTAAGGTGGAGGGCAGTGTAAGAGTGAAGAGTGTTGAGGTGTACAGTACTGAGGGCAGTGTGACCGGGTCCCTCCAGGGACGAGGAACAGCTGTGCTCTGTCGTCCTCCACCCCCGTCAGCCTGCAGCTCTCACCTCCCCTTTGTTTGTTAATATCAGTGTTTGAGTTCCAATCAAAAACTGAGGAAGACACCACAGAAATGCATTGTTAAGACACCTGTGACTGAAAAGTTGAGAGCTCTTTTCCAATGAAAATATGTGTGATCAGCCCTGTTGCTTTGAATATGAGGCCTAGTGTTGTTCCCTTGGATAGGTTGTTGAATTTTTTCAAAATTCAATTTGTCTATCTTCCAGGTGCAGATTTTATAAAAATTAAGACAGTGCCATGGACATTATTCTTTAATGGTTATCTCTTCACCATCTTCAAGAGCAGCCTCTGCTATACCTCTTCTTTTAAGGAGTTAATTGTTCATGTTCCACAGAGAGTGAGCTAGGTAGTGTGTCATTTTATACTTAGTTTATTTTACTTATTATAATGCTCTCCAGTTCGATCCATGTTATCACAAATGGAAGAACTTCTTTTTATAAGTCTAAATAATATTCCTTTCTGTATACACAATACAATTTATTTTGCACTCATCTGTTGACAGGCATTTGGTATTATTACACACCGGGCCGTTGTGAACAATGATTACAATGAGCAGGGTTGTGTAGTTAACTCTCCCATAGGTGAGTGGAATGCTGTTCATTGTGTCTATGGAGGAAAACATTTGGGAAGGATCAAGAAAAAGCACATGGCTCTACCTTATTTTACAGAAAGCAGAACTTTCTAGCTAAACATTTTTCTAGTTATCAGATTGTCTAATATTTGGAGAAAGGAACTCCTTCCTTTTAAGTTATGATTCTTAACAAATTAAGAAAAACAGAAATGATACACCAGTGTTTAATACCAGTGTGCATTCAGTTGCTCCAGGTGACAGGGAAAGATCATCTGGCTCTTAAAGACCTCAGCCCACCCTAGGATTGCAGGATCCTCCTCCACGCCATCTTTACATCCTTGTTTCTCAGGGTGTAGATGAGTGGGTTGAGCCCTGGGGTGACAACACAGTAGAAGAAGGACATGAACTTGGCTTGGGAACTCTTGGCTGGAGGCTGGAGGTATACATAGAGGGCTGGTCCAAAGTACATGGTGACCACAAGCAGGTGGGAAGTACAGGTGCTGAGTGCCTTGTACCTTCCTTCAGCTGAAGGTAGCTTCAGCACAGCCCTGGCAATGAAAGTGTACGATATGACCAGCAGCATGGGGGACAACAGTGCAAAAGGGATGGCTCCTAAAGCCATGACCAAATTATTAATGGTGGTATCCCCACAGGCCAGTTTGATGAGCACAGGAACCTCACAGAAGAAGTGGTCCAGGGTGTGGTGACCACAGAAGGGGAGCTGGAGGGTGAAGGTTGACTGTAGCAGGGAATTGGCCAGGCCACTGAACCAGCAAGCAGCAGCCATCAGCACACACACCCAGGAATGCATGATGAGAGTGTACTGGAGGGGCCGGCAGATGGCCACATAGCGATCAATGGCCATCATGGCCAGCATCGCACATTCAGCACAGGCAGTTAAGTTAAAAAGATAGACCTGTGTGAAGCAGCCCCAGGCAGTGATGGTCTTGTCTGGTCCCCACAGGTTGACCAGCAGCTGGGGCACAATGGTGAAGGAGATACATAGGTCCAGCAGAGAGAGGTTGTCCAGGAAGAAGTACATGGGCGTCTGTAGTCTGGGGTCCACCAGGGAGAGGAGAATGATGGAGCTGTTCCCCGTGAGGGTTAGGAGGCAGGAGACCAAGCCCACTGCAGAGATGGGTATCTCCAGCCACGGAAACTCTGAGAAGCCCAGCAGAATAAAAGTGTTGGGAAAACTCACATTTTGCCTTTCCATGGCATCAACGTTTACTATATAGCTGGAAAGAAAAAGACAAAGTATGAGTATGAACTTTTCTGTCTTATTTGTGTAAGCATGTTCTCATACCTTTCCTCATACTGGTGAACGCTCCCCATGTGTGTCAGGAGTTCAGGAGTTGTCCCCACTACCACACTGCAGTGGCAAAACTCTTACCTATCACTTCACTCTGAAGTAGGAATGGAGCTGAAATGTCCTAGACAGGATGACTCTAGTATGATCTCAGAGGGATGGAATGCTCATGGAATGCAGACACTAAAGTCTGTGCTGATGATGTTACAGAAAGGAAAATGTACATTCTTGGAAATTGGTCTTGGGTCCTTTTATATTTCATTTGGACAGAGCACTTGTCTACCTTTCATTCTTGTTTGACTTTGTGGAAGGCCGGTTTTAAAGGTGGCAGACTAATCAATCTGACATAGGAAATTTCATATTAGAGCAGTGTTCAGGCTGAGAATGGGCAGTGCTCCGTGCTTTCAAACAGGTTACTGTGAGAATCAAGTGAAAAGAGGAGGACTGAAAGATTTCAAAAACTTGCAGTTTGTCAAGAAGCAGTGAATGTAGAGTTGGGTTTATTTAAGTGTGATTGCTGCAGATTAGTGCCATTAAAAAAGCCAAGTACTTTGCAGAGGGACAATAGGAAAGATGCTTTGAGGTCATCTTAGGAATTAGTACAACCCTACCTACAACTCTAAATCTTTCATTTAAGCACAGAACCCTTGGGTGCCTGCTGGGAGCAGATCTGCCTAGAGGATGGGCTTCCTCAGATACACTGAGGGATACACTGAGATTCACCATGCTCAGCCAACCAGGCAGTCAGAGGCCACAGCAGCTATTATCCAAGGGGGTCTGCCTCCTGCTCACACTGGTGTGAGACCTTAGTTTCATCAACATGATGCTTGTTTTGCAGGTGTGGGTAGCAGAGACTTCCAGCAGGATATCCCTGGAAAGCCTGGGAGCTAGACACTGTGTGGCAGTATTCCAGTCCCCAAAAGAGGCCCCTGAGACCAGATACATGGAAGGGTAAGAGAAACCAAAGCTGCAGAGAGGGAATCTCAGGAATTCAGGAACATGGAGCACCGGTGAAACCAGCTGCAGGTTGGGAGCAGAGGCAGAGGAGAGAGAGGCCATGAGGGCACACTGGCAGGCCAGGGGGTGGCATGCACATCCTGCCATGGGCTGCCCTGGGTGTGCAGCTTCAGGATTTAATGCTTCCCCTGCTGGGTGGAAGCTTCTTCTCACTGTGTCCCTTGACTTTGGAACCAGAACATTTAGCCTGTGCCTGTCCCATTATTGTGTAGCTGTTCCCAGACAAGGACTGCCTTGAGTTTCAGGACTTAAGGACTTGAAATTTTTTTCATGTCTTTTTGGTCAGTTCATATTGGTTATACTGATGAATGGGTTGCATTTAGGCAGATTTGTGCATGCAATAATGTAGTTGGGCTTGGATTTGGAGCAATGCTGGAACTATTAAGTCCTGAGGACTCCTTCTGTGTTTTCATTTCACTTATAAACTAGCTTTCACTAGACAACATAAAGTCTGGATATACCGTGCATATTTTGTATGTCCCACACTAAGAACATTTCTTCTTGCAACGTGAGGTCTATAAATACAGTAACCACAAAAATAAATGTGAGCTTGGAAAAAAGTGCAAAAGGCTGAAAAATAAAAATTATGGTAAAGTTTTGGATAGTGCTATGAAAAAATATTATTTTTCATTACATTTGAGGGAAAATAGACTAGGAAAAATAAGAATCCTTGCTAAACACAATCTTTTGTAGTTAGAACAGTGAGTGTTAGAAGAACATTCAATCTCCACATTGTGAATCCACTAGGAAGGAGGGCCTTGATTATGACACATTTTTGATGTTTGCAGTCCTGGAAAATATTAGATAACAGAAAAACCCTCAACAGGCAAGGGTGAGAATACTGTGCAAGTTTCAAAAGCAAACAAATCCCAGGAATTAAACATTCATGGAACTTGGCTGTAACCTCTGGGGAAATGTAGAAGGGAGCACTAAACAAATATTGTGTGCGTCTGGAAAAGTGCGGCCAGTAGCACAGTGTGTGGGTCAATCTGATGCAAAGATAGAAAGCCATGCTGTCTAGGGTGTGAGTTTGAGAGACATTGGGGTGTGTGCTGTGGACACAGATGGACACCTGGTCTAGGGAGATAGGCAGCGCTTGGATCTGGAGTTGGTGTCCCCAAGCCCATGTTCTTCAGATGGCTCAGGCCTGGGATGAAAACACCTTGTCCTCAGCCTTCCATACGAGGGACACTAGGCTGGGCCTGCAGGGTGTCGTGGGCAGCTCCTAGCAGGGTGGAGCTCTGGCCCGTGCCTCTATTTCATATCTGCCTGGGTGGTTACCTCAGTGTCTGTGGGTCAGATCCCTGCTCAATGCTCTGTGAGCATTTCAAACACTTAGGGAAACCTGTCAAAAGCTGGTAACAGTAGGTTTACTAGCCCTAAATTTATCACTGTGTCTCATCTTTTAAGACTAAGGACACGTAGTTGAGCACGAGTGAGTAAGGCATTTTCAAGGCATACTCACCTGCCAGCCTTTACGGTATTCTGTTCCAGACCCCAGGTGTGATCTCTAGAAGTCTCTAGTCATTGCCCTAAATCTGCAGTCACTTTGGGTTCCACCAGCATCTCTGCAGACAGACTGCCATGTGGTCTGTCATCCTGTGGAAATTGCTCTGGCTCCTCAGATGCTCAGACTTCTCCAGAGCCACCTGAGAGTCATCAGCTCAGGTTTGCCTGCTAGCCCACCAGCCAGGAGAAGCCCAGCCTGTGCTTCTTTAGTTCCCAGAACCCCAGAGTTCTGCCAAACCCTGCAGGACCCACACATCTCCAGGCTGGCCACACCAAGTGATGCTCCTGCCTTGCCTTCACCACTGTGCGTCTCCTTGACTGATTGGCTGGGATGAGGGGCTGAGGCTGGTTGCAGGGACCCCTGGAGCTGGAGCTTGCGCCTTAAGACTCTGGGAGCACTTCCTGCACCGGAGTCTCCAGATGTACTCACTGCACAGGCCACTCTTTGATGGCCTTGCTTTTTCTTGGTAGGGAATTTTTATATAGAAACAATAAGATTCCTTAAGAGGGTTTGGTTTTTGAAGAGATTGAAATATATTTTCAGTATGAAGCTGTGTACCTCCACCAGCTTGAGTACCTGAGACGGAGGAGGAGCAGGGGAAGCCAGGAGAGACGAGGACCCCGCGGTGAGGATGTTGAGGTTGTGGTGAGAAAGACGAAGCCTCTTCTTCAGAGGGTCTGGGATTCAATGGGGAGTGGGGCTGATGAAAGTCCATGGGGAGTGCGGGGTGGAGCGTGCTGCCTGGGGACCCTCTTGAGGTTTATTCCCTCTGCTCTTCTGAGATGGGAGCTGTAGCTTTTAGATAGTTAACATAGTGGCTAAGTTTGTAGAAATGAACATTCTGCAGGGAATTTCCTCTTCTAATTTATTTGTGTTTAAAATCCTCTTGCCCTGGGGAATTTGACTGAGATGAAGACAAGACTGTGAAATTATAAACTTACCATAGAAAAGGACTGATACAGAGCCTGGCCACACCCATCCATCCTCCTGGCTCCTGTCAGAGATTGCACCTGGGGAGGACAGTGCCATCCCTAGGGGAATCTTTGCTTAACACTTTCATGGTTACTACCTGCGAAGCTGTGCTCTTTAAGTGAAATTCATCACTGCTGTAGAAACTGAGCAGCTCTTTAGCTGGCCATGTCTTTGTTTTCCTTCCATGTGATAACTTCATGGCAGCATTAGGGAATGCTGTACATCACCATACGCTTTTCCTTGAATGTGCATTTTCTGCCTTATAAAGCTATTATTTTGATGAACTAAGGGAAACTAGATGTACAATTTCCCCACTTCCCTACCTTCAAATAAATGGTCTTTTAAAAAAATTTATTTTAAAGAGATTAAGACAAAAGAGGACAGAACAAGGCAGATCAGGACAGAACAATGTAAGCAACACAGCACTTCACAACAAGACAACTGGACATTAACAGTAGGTACCATAATGTCTCTTTCTTTGAAATAGTTGAGCATACTTTCACATACAAGAGTATCAAACATAACAAAATAGTATCAAACCATTCAAGAGAATGGAAGTATTGCTGGGCATTCACAACCAAAATCAGAAAATGAACAATGGCTACTATATTACCTCATTTTCCATAGAAAATTTGTTTATACTATCACACATATTAAAATCCAATAAGATACAACATGATAGAACCAATGGAAATAGAAGGACAAAAGCATGGTAGGACTTTAAAGCAAGATGATAGTAAATCAGCAGTTGCTGTTTTAATGTCTTGTTTTCTTCAAAATAGCTGTTCATACCAGCACACATGGTAAAATCAAACAACAAAGAATAAAACCATTCCAACTAATGAATGAAAACATTATAAGGCTTCAAACAATGTGATGGGGAATCATGATTACCATAAAATCTTATGTACTCTTATCATTACTTATACTATGGAGACTATACAGTATTTATACATGTGAGTTTGATTTGTTTTGGTTATGAGTATGGTCTCAAGTTGCATCCTTTTATTTATAAATATCTCAATGTGATTATTCTTTATAGCTGAGAGGTACTCCATTGTATAAAAATACCACAACTTTTTTATCCATTCCTTAGTTGATGGACACTTAGGTTGTTTCCAAGATCTGGCCACTACAAATTGTGCTGCTATAAACATGGGTGCACATATATCACTGTGGGGTGATGTTTTCAGTTCTTCTGGGAATATGGCTAGAAGTGGAATAGCAGGAACAAATGGGACTTCCAATCCTAGCTTTTTGAGGAATCTTCAGCCTGACGTCCATAATGATTGTACTAGTCTACATTCCCACCAACAGTGCAGGAGAGTTCCTTTTTCCCCATAGCCTCTCCAGCATTTGTTGTTGTTGATTTTCTTGATCCTGGCCATTCTTTCTGGAGTGAGATGGAATCTCAGTGTGGTTTTAATTTGCATTTCTCTAATGAGTAGTGATGATGAACATTTTTTTCATGTATTTATTTCCCATTTGTATTTCTTCATCTGAGAATTGTGTATTCATCTCAGATGC